ACGGTATAATTTAAAAATCTATGAGTTATCCATAAAAATTAGCGGACTACTCTGTTAGACGTAACGGATTATAAACTTTGCACATAACTTGCGCGGGGCAAGTTTACATTTAAATGTGCCAAATGCCATGAAGTATAAGACACATGGTATAAAAATAATAAAGTACCTTGTTTATGGAGAGTTACACGACCCCCAGGAGAGATTTATTCCCACTCGTCTCGTTTTATTATAAAGGCCCCTTGTAGCTGTGGAATCGTCCTTTGGTACCGTATGCATTGCCTTGTTTCAGCTTTAAGGACATTTTAGTGAACGCAAAAATCATATTTTCAAGTATAATGAGAGACACGCGTACAGAGTGCACGACCACTGTAAAAGAGTACGTGGAAATGTCAAGTGGTGACGCCAAGAATTCGGGCGCACTCGATATTTACTCTTCTTAATCAATAGAAGAAAACGGAGTTGCAGAAAAAGTAGTTAATTTTTGTAAGAAAAAGCACATCCTCGCTTAGTTTTTACTGAAAATAGACTAGTTATGAAGAAAGCCAAGTACGAATACGAGGATTGCAGCCGATATCGAAACAGCATGTAGGTCAAAGTAACTCATGAAAATGGCACCTCGAAGTTGGCAGCATCGAGTCGTTACGTACAAATAGCCTCTGTTGCTGGAGCTCGAGAAGAAGCCGCTAACTCTCCTTCTTTTTTCTTCTTCTCGCTGTTGGGCTCGGGCCGGGCATATAATGAAAGAGCGGCTAGGTATAGCTGGAAAAAAAGTTGAAAGTACGCGGATGCGTGCACGCGTCCTGTAGGTATGCAGTGGCTGCGGGCGAAATTACGCCCTTGGCAGCCCCCAACGGTCCGCGAGCGTATTCTGCTCGTGCCTTTGCTAGTTCGCTCCGCAGCCCGGCAAGATTACGCCGTTTTTCTCACTCCTGAAGTAGTCGCGCGATCCAGAGCTTATACTCTCTTCTTCGCCGATGTCTCCTCCAGCTGCAGCTCTTCTTTTTCCGACCCGACACCGGCCAGCTCGTTTTTCCCCCGCCGGCATCCGTACTGCTTGCTATGAGGACACGGGCAAAGTCTCTCTATTAACATGTAGTCGAGACAGTATGAATTGTAAGCAAAACTACACTCGGCAATAAAATTATCGCAACAAAAAAATTCATCGAAATTTCGTCGATTTTCAAATGCTTCTATCTTGGGCTAGATTTATCGTATCAACACGCTTTTTTTTTAATTTCTTGGAAATTTTGTCCTCTTTAAATCCATATAAATTAGGATGAGATTCGAGTTAATGTTGAGTTACCAGTAGTATTTGAGCGCGACACTAAAAATTGCTGAAAAAAAAGACTGTTTGAACGTGTACCAGTACCACAGTAATTTTTCTATCGAAATTTAACATACACCATCGCAAAGTGCTCTTTTCAACGAGTAATTTAAAAAAAAAGGACCTCTCTACGATTTTTTTAACGCCCTGTAGGTCGTTTTGAAAATACCATTTAAAGTACGTGAAATCCCCCGTTTAGCTGAAATCAAGACAATTTTCTGGGCTTTTTGCGTACACAAACCATACCTTCAAATCGACCTACAGGCCGTTAAAAAAATCGTAGAGAGGTCCTTTTTTTTTTAAATTACTCGTTAAAAAGAGCACTTTGCGATGGTGTATGTTAGATTTTGATAGAAAAATTACTGTGTTACTGGTACACGTTCAAACAGTCTTTTTTTTTCAGCAATTTTTAGGGTCGCGCTCAAATACTACTGGTAACTCAACATTAACTCGAATCTCATCTTAATTTATATGGATTTAAAGAGGACAAAATTTCCAAGAAATTAAAAAAAAAGCTTGTTGATACGATAAATCTAGCCCAAGATAGAAGCATTTGAAAATCGACGAAATTTCGATGAATTTTTTTGTTGCGATAATTTTGTTGCCGAGTGTTTTTGCCTTTAACAGTCATAAATATATTATAAAATCTTAAATTCTTTAACATTACAGAATAAAATTTTAATACTTTTGAAAACAAGAAATGAAAATGTAATTTGTCTGTTTAGAGAATCTGTTTTATCTATATTTCTGGATTTCTCACTTCTTCACGCGTATTTTGTACATGGTGGCTTTAGTAGCGGTATTCGTATAGCTGGAAGCTTATACGAGCGCTTACATATGGCCGGTTCTATGTTAAATCGAATGGCAAAAAAATTTCTGATGGCATGACACATTCATTTAATTATGCCCTGATAGAAATGTTCAACATTAACATAGGCCTAATAACTAAAAATCGGCAATTTTAAATATTTTTAATTATCTTACCATACATAATCTTATTTTTGACGATTTTTTTGTTACCAGCACGTAGCAAACATTAAGTGAATTGAAAATGACTATTTAATTATTTTCAAAAATGTAGCCAACTAGTCAATCGCATTACATACGACCATACCATTTCCTCCACTAGATGGCGAGTAATTTATGTGTAAATCTGAATTTACAGCAATATCAGCTGCGGTGTCCGAGCGGTTAAGGAGATGGACTTGAAATCCATTGGGTTTTACCCGCACAGGTTCGAATCCTGTCCGCAGCGAATTTTTTAAAATATTTTGGCAATATATATTATATAATTAATATAATTAAATGTCGATAAAAACTTTTCAGAAATAAAACTGCTAATGTGAAAGTACAAAATTATGTAGCACAGGGCACGGTTTTGCTACCAGTTTACCATTCAGATTCACTTATGCGTAAAAGTCATTAAATTCAAATCAAAAAATTTGATTTTGGCGTTTTACACTTCAAATGTAGAAAAAGAGAAATAATGATCGAAGAAGCATTTAAATCGTTATTTTCATCAAAGATATATTTTAGTTTAAAAATAAATATACTGAAAGACTCATTACAAATATTTATGAAGTATCAGTTGATATTCTGAGAAAGTTCTGTGAATTTTTCGGTTATGCTGATATTTTTTTCGGTAATAACAAGCTCATTAAGTGCTCAGACCTGTTTGGAGTATTTTTTTTTCTTTTTGAGAGTTTGGATAATTTTCAGCATAAAAGCTCTTCAACACTTTTCCTGAAAGTTCCTCTTCACCGAGCAGAGATTTTTTTAAATATTCGCATTAAACATGAAATTATGAAAAACACTAACTTTGGGTCTGTGGTAAAAGGTGATGAACAGTCTCGAAAATTCTAATAACATTTGGGACGTTTTTGACTTGAAAAACAACAAGTAATTTATGTAAACTCAAAAAATTTGTTCGACCATTCGATTTTTCGAAGAATCAGCCGTATATATACTTGCAGAAGGGTGGGATGGCAAAAGGTTACGCAAGAGCAAAGCATTATATGTATACGTTGGTATATATATGTATTATATGCATGAAACATGAAGCAGTGCGCGAAGAAAAGAGTCGACAAACGGATCCGCAATAAAGCGAGAAAAATGTTGCGGAGCAAAGAGCACCTAAAGAAGCTAAAGAAGCCGACGGACTGATGACAAGGCTAAATGGGAGCCACCGGTTATATGTATATACGATTACACAAGCCAAAGTTGCAATGAATAAATCCTAGCGCCAGGGCGCGCACGACGACTTAGGCGCTCACGGCTCAAACGACCTATGACAAAGCAGTCAAGCTTTATGTAGCTTGAAAAAAAAAAGAGTCTAGCTATATAATTACTGTGTACGCGTAAAAAAGATTTTCACGCTGTAAATGAAGCAGGCTCGGCCATTGCCTCCCACCGGCTTTGACGCGAGCTTTCAGCTATATGTACCGCCGTAGCACGAGCTGTTTAATATACTTATTCAGCAAATACGAATTCAAATTATGACCCTTTTACTTTTTCTAAAAGTAGCTGCGTGCCTCTAAAAAAATAATATTAATGCCGCGCCGTGCTCTTGTGCTCTCGTGGCACCGTGTGATAATAAAGCGTGCGATTCATAGGCTGACATAAAGACTGCTGCGACGGATAAGGACCTTCGTCAATAAAACATTCGATTTTCCCCCCGGTTTTAATCAGGAGTATTCATTTTATACAAAAACAAAGGAAAGCTCCATCTGCATCAAAGCACATTGTCTCAGTCGAGAAGAATTTGAATTTTATTTTTCACGTCATTGATTGAACTCTCATCTTTGCGTTCCTTTATTCAATTTGTACCGAACTTATGATTTATGCAACATATTTCCCAATAGAATTGTAGATGGCCTAAGAAAAGTGAATACACCAAGGACTTAAAAGACGTCTGTACAAAAAACCAACGACGTTTTTACAAGTTATGAAGCCTTCATTGCCAATATTCATTTATAAATAAAAATGATCTGCGCTTGACACAAAAGAAAGAGTTTGTGTAATTTTAAAGGTTTCAAAGTGATACCAAAGTCAGGGCAAAGTGAACAATTTCTAAGCTTTTGGTTCATTTTTATTTTATTTTTAACGTAGGGAATTGAAATTATGTAAATGATTCGCTTTTGACGAACAGAGTACCGAGATTTTCAAGCTCAAAAGTCGTGGTCACTATCACTAAAAAGTTTCGCTACGTTTTTATTATACGAATTAGGTATACATTTTTAGCTTTGAGAGTGTATTATTCGAGTTATTCAAAGACGTAATCCTCAAAGTGTGTTAGGAATCATGTTTTTCCGTTTAGAGGGAAACGCTATCGGTTGCTTGTAAGGAAATTTTTTTTAATACCTTTGCACATATCCTTCACTCAAAATCTTTGACTCTGCCGATAAAAAGCGACTCACTCAAAATCCTTCTCAATTTCCATTACAATAGCCTAAGCGAAAAATAGTATTTTATATTTTAAATCTTGTAAATTCACTATTTTAGTATAAGGTAATGTAATTATGCATGATCAGTGCAAAAAACTATTGCAACCCTCAAATAAAAAATGTATAAAATCAGTAAAATATTCGAAAGCAGTGTTTATAATTGCCTACAAACTATTATTTTTTTTTTAATAGAATTTAAAAATGCTTAAAATATCTGACTTGTATTCTTTCAGTGATCCAAACTCCATTGACAGTTATGCAACGACTCGATTTTAAAAGTACAAGTAAATTATTATCAAAGCCATACAAGTTCACTCCTAAATTACAATTCTGGTAAGTTTAAATTTAAACATTTTCGTTCGCAGTATCAGTTGAAACGATTACTAAGCCTAGTAAATGAGGTGCCCTTCATCAATTGGATGACGGCTTAGCTCGAAAAATTAAAATCCCTCCGTTTTTTCATTTTATCAAACTGTAAAATTACACGCTTCTGTGAACAGTTTTTATTGGAGTTTGATAACAGCTACATCCGCATTGGCTTGGTATACGAAAAATACAGTCGTGCGCGAATGTGCAGATCCATGATGAATAATTGTTACGGATCGATATAGCTTACTCGAATGATGTACCTTCCATTTCGGCACTCTGTATACGGGCATTGTGCGAACTTCATTTTTCCTCTTGGTTTGGTTATACATTCGTTCACCCATTATTTGGTTCACTATCGAATCAAAAGTGGATTTATGGAGGCTTGTTCCTGTGGGGTCTATCTCGCGCGTTATTTACACTTCTGCCACCCATTGCTTGTTAATGCACATTATAGATGGCATAAGTGAAAATTTCATTACAAACTTTTGCGAGATAAGTGATGAATTTTTCATAAATAAGTTGCACTGATTGGGATACTTTACATATGCTCCCTTATCAAGGCTTAATAATCGTTCGACCAAAGAAATGAGTTACGAGATGAAATTAATATATTAATCATAATTTTAATACATTAATTATCAGCGATTTCATTACAAAGCGATATTAGAAGTTCATTTATCTTATTTAAATAATAAAATATTTTATCAGCTTTACGAGTTCTAACTTTAAGGTATGTTTAAACACATGTTAGGAAATCAAGTAAATGTATGTTGTGAGCAGTTTCTCATTAGAATTGGTAATTCTTGTATATTTACTAAACTACATTTTGTTCCCAAAATAGGACAGCTTCAAAACTTGTTGTAGCACAATAATTGTCATTATGAATTAATACGTCACGTTACTAAATTGCAAATCTCGGCACTGAATTTATTAGGCTGAGCACGTGTCCTGACTGTTTTTCGGGATTTTTAAGCATTCCGCTGTAGTACGATAACAATTAATAACAATAATTCCAATGTTAATGGGCAGTGTAAGTCAGTGTTACTGATTAATTTTCATAAAGAGATTTTTACTACGAATATATTTTTGATATATTTTTCGCGTGAAAATAAAAATACTTTTATTTCTACACGTTATATCTGTTAAAAAAAAATTGAAAAAATATTAAATGAGCTTTTGATGCACTTAGCACTCAGTTTGCACTTTCGATGTTCTTCACGTGGGCGATACATTTTTTTCGTCAGCTATTCAAAAGATTTTAAAGGATTATAAAATATTTGCTGATAAATTTAAATTTATTCTTGTTTATATGGCCAATACTCTTTTGATACCTAAAATGGACTTGAAACAGAAATGCATTTTTTTATCTCATTCTCGATAGTGATTATAAAGTTATAATATAATTTTTAATCAGAGCCCCGTTTCAAATCTATTTTTTTAAAAGAATTTATTTAAAAAGTATGGAAATGTATTGAAGGTTTTTCGAATCGGAATGCATTACAAATCATTGACAAACTCCGAATGATAGAGGACGTGAGTATCAATTTAAAGAGCCTTTCAGCATATATACATACGTATAGTTACAATGGAGAATGAATCACGAACCGTAAGCGTTATAGTGTCAGCAATAATGTCAGGTGAAAAAAGGTATCGAGCGTAAATCGTTTTTCCTACTTTGCGCATTTTACATTATTCATGTTCGAAATAGTAGCGAAATAAGTATGAAATACTTTTATTGATTTGACAGTATCGTTTAGCATTGATTTTATTTTGGTTCGACTTGGTCGAAAGTTGCACATTTTACAATACATTTGCTGAGAACCGGGCAAAAATGTAAACCTGAAACCAAAGTTTCGTAAATGAAACTAATTTATTTTCCTCAAATATTAATTTTTACGTAGAAAAAATATATCAAGACTCTGCTATTAATTAAGCAGTAGGTGGACTGAGTACGAATTTTAGTATGATTATAATTTAAAGCGACGAAAAAGATAATAATTCAAAAACTCATATGATTGTAAGCAATTTCAACATTTTTAATACCAAAGCGTATCTTGTATAAGGGATGATAAATGCATAAAAAGTCGCCAACTTCGGGGTTACAACCGTACAAAACTTATTCCGAGATTTTACAATCAGTAACTTTTTTTTTCCTTTTTTCATGGCGAGCACGAATGCTCGTCCTGATAGCCGGAGTTATGAAAGCTAGCGCGCCCAAGCCGACGATTGCTGTTATTTCGTGCTATGCGCGATAGCTTCTGCGGAAGCAACAATTATCCAGCTAGCCTTTTAGGTCTCTGCGTCAGAGTAGATTTGTTCTGGCCTGATGCGCCTCGCCTCGCTCGCGTGGCAAAACTAACCCGTTTACATGCGTTACACAGGCCCTAGAATGACCTACCAATACACGTAGAGAATTCAATTTAATCAGTCACACGCGCATTCAAATATTTCAAAATCGATCGCAAAGTGCGTTACAATTTCATCTCTTCATTTTTTTTTTACTTTTCATACACCATGATTCTTTTATTTTGAATTTTATTTATTTCATTGTTCGATCGTATTGGAAAATGAAAGGTACGTTTGATTTTTCCTTCATATTTACCTGAAAGTCTCATTAAAATTCGTACGTGCACGAGCAACAAGAATTATTTAAAAACATTAATCAAAGTAAGTTGCATTGGCACGGTTTTATATTCCGGCGTTGCTTTCATATTTACCACTTATTTTTTTACTCACGTTGCAATAACTTCGACAAGTATAGCCTTTGAAAAAAAAAAATGTTTGTTCAAAGCTTATTAAATTCAAGCAAGTAGTTCGCGTTCTCATTTTGATTTCTTATTCGTTACGTGTAGTGATTTGGTACGTCTATAAATTATGTTTCTCGTTGTAGTTTATCTAACTCGTTTATTTTTTTCTTTGTGTGACTACTATATATTTACGAGATTTTTATCCTCGTCACAAGGGTTTCCCAGATCAAGTAGTAATAAAAAAGAAACACAAGAAAAAGAAAAGGCAAGTATAAGGACGAGTAAGAGCAGAAGAAGCTCGTCAAACATTGCATCGTTAAGGATCGAGAAGGAGCATCGAGAAAGAAAAGAAGAGGAGTTGCTGGGTTGGGGTGTGGGGAGCAAAAGTAGCAGCTCTGTTGCTTCTCTCTTTCTGTTTCCAAGTAGGTGTAGTAGTAGTGCGAGGTAAATGAAAAGTTTGGCCGCAGTTGAGAAATGAAGACCCATGGTCAAGAGCGAAGATGCGCGAGGCAAGACTAGCAAAGGCAAACTTTACCACCATCTCGCAGCTTCGGCTCTTCGATGTATATACGAGCCAACTCTCATTATGCATTACGCGCCTCGCCTCGGCTGGATTATGAGCGATGCCTCTTTACACACCCCGGCCTCATACAGCCTCTGTTGCACCTATACTTTCTAAAGCTCTGTATATGCGCGTTGCACTGAATTACGCTTCTACATACTACCTACCTACACCCGCAGCAGCCTACTGATTTATCGACGAAATTTAGGTCAATTTCATAAGCTTACTACATATTTTTCCAAGTAAATCAGTGTCTGTAGATTAGTTGTTTTCCATCGTTTTGAGACAATAATATTCAAAAAATGAAACAGCATTATATATAAGAAAAATTGTTTTAAAAACTTTCAATTAAAATGTCAAGACTTAACTGAAGTGTAGCAGCAATTATATTTCGAAATTGTTTACTTGTAAACTTTGGTAAATGACTAAAATTCACTTACTTTAAATCTAGCCCATAAAGACGAAATTCTGGAGATCGTTTTGGGTCAAAATTTAATTTGACATTTTTGTTATAAAATTGATAAAAATGGCTATATATTCTTACTTTGTATTGATACCATTATTTAGTGACATTAATTCACGCTGACAAGTATATTTTTCTGCATTGGATTATGCGATTGACGAAAAAAAGCATGGTTGGCTTGTTTTTACTTTCAATAAATTGTTCCAATCAATATTATTTATTTTCTGGATTATTTAATGATAGATTCCCTAATAATGAATTTGAAACAAGTTAATCCAGCATGGCGTAAAATGTATTTTAAAGATATAACGAACGTATAGTTTAGGGTCATATCTATAATGTGTTCCATGAGCTTAAAATATCTAAATAGACGCGAGATTAATTCAAGTTTGGTACAAAGCACTTTAAAAGTTACTTCAACGGGGGAGTTCATAAAATAGCTGGTCTTGTAAACAGTCATGTTACTGGTAGCTGCCACGTGGCATTCGAAATTTCGTAAAAAGGGTAAAGCACTTATGAGAGAAGACTTTTCATTCACTCGAGCTCTCATTGAATAAGCTACGCGCTCGGGGCTCTTGTAAATAATGAAATCGATTTCGCTCGCGATGTACACGCAATTTAGCCGAAATTTAATCATCAAAGTAATAGTTTTCAGAAAATATGTGGGCAAACACGGCGAGACGCTTGAGCCAGTGCACTCGAGGAAAACAAGACAAATATTTTGATATGATCGAGAGATACACAAAACTCAGCCGCGAACACTTGACACCCGAGCTGCAATTACATTTGCTAACGCCCGACTGTCCGCTTTATACCGCACGAGCGGACCAAGTCGAGAGTCACTTTGCCGAACCATTTTGGGCTATATACTGGCCGGGTGGTCAGGCCATGGCTCGTTACCTCCTCGACGAAGGGACACAATTATTTGCCAAGATCAGGGCTAAGAACGCTGCGGCCAACTCCGGCGCGCTCAAAGTTTTGGACGTCGGCTCGGGCTGCGGAGCGGCTGCCATCGCAGCAAAATTCGCAGGCGCTAACGACGTCATTGCCAATGACATCGACCAAGGTACATTTGTTATTAGTCGTTCTATAATATTTCATATTTTTTAAATAAAATGATCATCAATTCGAATCTATAAAATGCCTGGCTTATAGAATGTCAACAGCAATTCTCTTTCAAATCATAATCGATATTAATGAAAGAATTGACGTTCATTAGCGTTGACCTTTTGATTGCTGCTATTCCATTATTTTCTTTCATTATCGGTGTAGCTAGAATGATAATAACGCTAATAGAAAAATTATCCTGAAAGATGAAATAATTCTGCTTGGCGAAGCGAATTGAATAAAGACTCGGATTGAAGAAGTTTTAATCGATTAATAATTAAATTCGATGCAATTTTTCATAAGCATTCTACACGGAGGATTATGATTCCATTTCCAATGTTATGGAAGACGAGATTCATAATCTTTTGATGGAGATTCATTTTATGCTTTTCAATCTCATGTAAACTTTTAAGCTTATTGTGTACATTTTTTGCTTTCTGTTGTCATAATATTAAGTGATTAATTCAAGAATTTTTTTCCCTGTCATTTTATGTTTATAAATAAAATTAATTGTAATAATGATGTATAACGATGGATCATCTTGCCTTTGTAGTGGCCTGTGCTGCAGCGCTGCTGAATGCGCGAGTCAATGGAGTGGAAATTAAAACTTGTCCAACAGATTTATTTAGCCAAGGAAGAGCATTGGCGGAACGCTTTGATGTATTGCTCATCGGTGACTTATTGTACGACGAGGCAATTGCAGATCTTCTACTGCCATGGCTCGAGGCAAACCAAAGGAAACACGGCTCGGAGATTTACATCGCTGATCCGGGACGCCACGGCATGAAAGAAAAATTACGCCGACGATTACAATTGTGTCGCAAGTATCCTTTGCCTGAAAATGTTCGTCGAGAAAATCATGGTTTTACCGAAGCAGCTGTTTGGAAATTTAACCAGGCGCCGAAAGGGATTTGAAATGTAATTCACTTATTATTGAAACATCTGAACATGAAACAATTTGTTTTACAAACTTATTTAAACAGAAATCATGTGTGCGGGAAGCATTTACTTATCATATAAATTGTAATGAAATACATTTTTATCGAAATTCTCAAGTCCTTATCAATTTGATACATCTCTGATTTTCATCCGATTAATGTTACATATTTTTTGTAGATTTTTAGATTATTTTGTACTGTAACACTTTTATATACCTCCATAGTTGTTAATAAAAACTATTTTAAATATCACAACATTAAGTTTAGAAGGAAACCGTGTCTTGTCACTGACCTGTTTGGTGAGTTGGGCTTCAAGACTGACGTTGTTGCGCTCGACGAAATCGACGCCTCTGGGGTGGCTGACATTCGTTAATTTGATGCGACACTCGAATCTCGTGCGATCTGGAACACAATGGGAGTCACAACAAATAGACAACACGCGTAGGTGGAGGTCGATTGGGGGGACAGCTCGTGAAAAAGTGCGGACAACTGTATATGCGGCGCAGTGCAGCCGAGGCCAGTGGAGCTGGGACCGATTCGAGAAAACAAAAGCCCCGAAGCTGCACTTGGTTTTTGATGGCCGAGCCTCGACTGCAAATCACCCTGACTATGCCGAGTGCATCTCGACTTTTTTGCCTTATGTATACCAACTCCACTGCCACAGCTGCCGCCGCCTCCGCCGCCACCGACGCTACCAGTGCAAATTCAGACGTATCGCTGGACGATCGACTCGATCAATATTTAAGCTCACCTGTGTCGACGTGGCTCGGCTCTTTGCACTGGCACGGCTGCTGCTGAGCAGGAATTTCTGAGATTAACCTTTGATGTCTTTGGTTTGTGGTTTCCAATTTTTTCCCAAGTAAAAGCTATGACTTCAGAAACATCGGTTGTAAAGTAATTATAGAAATGAATATAATCGATATTGCCCTTTAAAAAAATAAAATAAGATTTGAATTATAGTTCTCAAGTGAAATTCCTTTACCAAAGATCTAATTTAATGAGTTGAATATGTATTTAAAACAATCTTGAAGCAAATCTATTTGCCCGTCGTATTGAAGTAACTTTTTATCATAATTCAGAGTAATATTTGTATAATTTATCAATCTATTTTTTATCTCGTAAAAAGTTATTTTGATTGATTATTTTTAGTCGAATTGAATTACAGTTAGATTGTTTGTCTTGAACTATTTATTCATCATTTTTAAAGATTATGATTACTTTAAGGTTTCTATGACAATTTTTATCAATGATCTCATTTAACGTCTTTCCGATATTTTTAGAGCCATTTTTTACTCTAAAACAATGATGCAATATACTTTAAGGCTTATTATGGAAAATTTAATACTATCTAAGACAAGAAACTAAGCTCCCGAGTAAGTATACATAGTAATCAGTGCTTTGTGTACATTTTATAATGCTGAGTTATACGTATTGTATTGAAGTGAAACTTAAAATGAAAATTAACACGACCTCATACTAGTAAAGGGCACGATGCTGTTCCAGGACTCCTAGGGTTTTAAATCTGTAAGGCTTTCGTTTGAAAATTTGGTAGAACTAATTACAAACGTGAAGCATAATTTTTGCTAACGGAATTTTTTTTCAATCATTATGGTAAGAGAAATAATAAACAAACGTATAATTATTTTTATATATAAAATATATATTTTTTGAATTCTTAAATTAATGATATTTTTGTACAACTCTTTTGTATAAACTAAGAAAAGTTGATATTGCTTGAATATATTGTTAAAAACAGCTGTATGTCATCGAGTATACTTTCTCCAGTTTAGTTAAAAGTATGCAATAAAAAGCATACTGCATAAACTTTAATACTAACAAAATCAATTTTTTAAACATGCTCTAAAATATTACAACAACATATAAAATCAGAAACATTTAATTACAACAATATAAGTAAACTGTATTACGTCGGAAAACTTTTCCTTATAAAGATTCGTAAAATTTTTACACAGTATGTCTAAATTTATGAAAATTTTACAGTTATATACAAAACATTTTTTGAATTTCTAGTTGTAATATTTACATTCAGTAACGCACCAGCGTGTGTTTACTCAAAAATTGTATTCGTAACAATTATACACGCTTGGATCAGACACAATAACAAAACGTTAGTAAATTTTCGTTGTTTTAAAATATTTTACCTTAAATTTTTGATTCACAACTCGCATCAATATATCACATTCCCATTTTATTTAACTTTTTTCTTTGTATAGATTCTAATGTTTTTTCAGTAACGTTTTCAATGAGATTTTTAACAGAAAATGTTCCCATGTGATAAATAACTTATTTTATTTCCAATCAAACGCGTTTCGCTCATACTTCGATTGATCAATAAATCAGACTAACTTTTAGTAAAATGAATATTAATTGAAATCGTAAGAACTCTCGTACTTAGCATCGAAATTTAATAAATAATATAAACGGTATAATATTTAGTAGGTATATAATACATGTTTCATTCACAGCCTAATTATATGTAATAATAGTATACAGCTTTTTATTAGTTAATGACTATTACCATTAGGCTGATGAATATGGTGAAGGTCATTGCTGCCGACGACGACACATTCTTCGATAACGATTTCGGGCTTAACAAGCACCACCTTGGCCTCGCCGTCGGGCTGCTTTCGCTCATTCATATTGGCGATATCGGGCATCTTTTCGGGAACCTCGCTAGACTCATCGGTCGTGCCAGGCACTTGTTGAATGTATAATGATTCATCGGGTGCCGGCACAATGAAGAGCGGCTGCTTCTTACTTAGCAGCTCGGCAACTTCGGGCCCGTTGATGGCTAGAGTCACGTCGGGCATGGCTAAACACGTTTCTATGTGCATTTGCTGCTGCATTTGTTGATGTTGGCTTGTTTGACTGGGCAGATGGTGGTGTTTCATTATCGACTGAAGACCTTGAGAGCCTAACTTCGACGGCGCTTGGCGAGGCTGATGCTGGTGCAATTGATGCAATTCCACCGATGGATATTGATGATGCTGATGATGCTGGTGATGGTGATGGTGTTGATGTTGGTAATGTTGATGGTGCTGGTGATGTCGATGCTGACTGTTCATAATGTTGCATTGCTGCAAACTAGGTAGACTAGACATATCTTTACGCGTTGGCTGAAATATGAGATTCAAAACTAATGAGTTTGTGCCTTTTAATAACTTTTAAGAATTCTAAAAAAGGGTTCGGGTATTCAAGAAAGCATCAAGAGCCAGTAACAAATATTCGTAAGAAATTATTGAAAGTTAGAACTTAATTATACGTTATATTTATTAGGCTCACGCTTGCGAAACGTTTAGTCCCAAGATTTAAAAGTTTAAATTTGAAATTTAATAGCTATAAAAAGTTTTTTTTTTTAAACCCATTTTTACCTAATATTTTTCAGTAAGGTTCATAGGTATCTTTTTTTCTTTAGTTAAATTGTAATTTTTAGAAGAGCTTTGAGTGAACGCTAGAGACATTTGAACGTGTACATTTTTTCAGTAATTTTATCAGCATCTTCAAACTAACAAGCTTCAAAAATAAAAGAAAATGCAGTTTTGAATTTTGTAGAAGTTGAAAATACGATGGTTACGCACTTTATAAATCATTTCAATATTTCATTCATTCGTACTGGAACTATTTTAAACCTCGTTAACGCTAGCATAAACTATGCGACTAATGCATGCTCTGTAATAACCACCACTGAATGAACTACCTATATTAGTTCCAACTAATGAAATAGCACTTATTTAAATTTAAAAATGTTTTAGTTTGAGGGACTCAAAACAACCAATAGTAAATATTTTCTTGCATAAGATTACAATTAGTACTGATATGATTATATTATATTTCAAGTGTAACTTGTTTTCATTTCTTATGAATCACATTATTATTTAAACCAAAACGGACGATAAAAATTGTGTTTAGTATAAAAATGCTGTCAAAATCGTAGATTGACCTAAAACTTTTATAGGTATATGAGAATTATAACGATTATTGTGACAATTACTGAGAAACTGAAAATAAGCACATAAATATTTACTCAGAATTTAGTTTTAGTTTTGAGAGCTCGAAGCTAAGAAAAGTACAATATAATATAGTCGAGTTTATGCTTAGGCTAGCACTTGACAAAGAAAGTTGCTTGACTTGGCCTGCACGAAACTCCCTGATCTTTGGATTACGAGCTTTTCGTTTTATCTCCGCATACAAAATAGCTAGCAATAGTTCTATCTGTTTCTCTTTCGACTTCCACTGCGTGAGCATAGTTTGAACTATTTTTCAATATTATGCGACGGAAACTCGATGTGCTTGTTCATTTATAAAAGACGAATAAGTTATATTTTTTTAAATAATAAAAGATCCCTGGAGCATTAAAATATTTTTGACTCAAGAAATTAATTCATTCGTGTTATTATCGATGAGAATTTTTTTTTAAATTTTGCATCAAATAATTTTAACAAAAACTAGTTTGAAAAATTGTTGTGAATGATCTATGAAAATTTCGCAGATTTTATCGCAGCCCATATTTAAAATTCGAGGAAAACATTCAAAAACGTAGCTCTCAGTCAATGCAAGTGCTTGGTCGAATACGAATTCCGGAAAACATTACGTATATGATATGCTAAAGAAATAACGAGATACTGCATAAATGTGCTTTTGAAGCGTTTCAATCAACTTGACACCAAACGCAAAAAGATTGCGAACGCGAAGGAAAAGCTGCGGTTGCGAGCACGAATACGTGTTAAACTCGACAGATTTGCACCGCCACTATTTTTCCTTTGTCCATCCATATTCCGCTCTCTCGCCCTCGTGGCAGAGTTATGCGCACCAGTGACAGACTCCTAGGGCATACGCGTATATACAAACTCTTTGCACTCGCCGCAGTAAAAAACGGGTTAGTGCCGAGTAACTTTGAAAAAAGTTACAGAACAAACTTGACAATTAAGTACAAAAGCTGTGTTTAAGTGCCTGCACATTCGAGCTTTGAAAACGCGTGTATCGTATTAATTCGAAACAACTTGCATCTTAATTTAAAAAATGACATTATATAAAGCCACTGCGGGAACCGTTCTTGAAAATATATACGCATATGTGAGCACGTATGCAAATAAAAGCTAGCGGATTTGTTGAACCTATACTTATTTTTAAGGAGCAAAAAAGAAATTTTTTCAAATACCGCTCTTTATTACATTTTATAGATTTTGAGCAATATCGAAAAGTACATTTTATTAGAACACTTTGATCCTGATTCAAAAATGTTCATTTCCTTGTACCGCACTATATGAATATTTTAAATGAACGAGTTACGTTTGTTTAAGGACCAAAAGAGGCTTAAAATTGAAAAAAAAAATTATTCAATTTTTAGAAAGGATTCCTTCCCATTTGAACGAATTTTTGGAAAAAATAAAACGACAAAAAACGCAAAAGCACAAAAAAAGTTAACACGCAAGGTACACGAGAAAAAGTCATAAAACAGTTATATGCCAGTCAAAAATCGAAATTTTACGATTCTGATAAACGCATTGAAAAGAAGAAGGAAAATCTGTTCCGAAATTTGAATTTTAAGCTCCTTTTGAGCTTAATTTTTAAATACAAAAATGATGGATAGTTACGAGCGAATTTCAGAGAATGTAAACGTAACGAAAATCGATAAATCATTATACTCAACTATAGACGCAATGTTTGAAGTTAGGTATAAAGCATGCATTTCCGGTCGATTATAAACTAATTACAAACTTTAAATTCAAAAGTCACTATATTCGAATGGTTATATAATGTTAAAAAAGTAAAAAAAAAAGAAAAATCGACCCTTACCTCTGGTAATACTGTAGCATAAGGTTCAGGAGCCGGAGGCATGGCGAGACTGCCAAAAAAAGCTTGAGACTCAGTCTGGGCAGTGACGTCGCAGCGCTGCTTTCCACCGAGGGTGTAGCTGTCGGTGTTGGTGCGTACACTGGCGCAATTACTCCCAGACGCCGTGACATTTTCCAAGTATCTTTCATCGACTCGATGGATTTGGATCTCAGGAAGTCCAATGTGAGGCGTGTAGGTGGAGCCGACCTCGCCTCCGCTGTAGTCGCGAGCGTCGATGCCTACAGCGACTCCTCGAGCTTCCGGATACACGGCCACTGGTTCGCAAACGCCAGCGAGCAAATACGTCGTTCCAGCCGGCAACTGCGTAACTGCCGACGCCGATGAGGACGATAATTCTCTATCTAGCTCCGGTACCCCGTGAAAGCGAACAGCTTTTTTTCAAACGATAAAAAGACACGTAACTTATTTTTTGAGGAACAATATTCATTGGCTTGAGCATCTAATATTTACAACACATATCATATGTGCTATGTTTGCATAATATATAGCCAATTAAAAAGTCTTTCGAAACTATTAATTTTTCAGAAAATATTTCCTAGAACTGCTCAACATTAATAGTGACCCGATGACCGAAAAATGTCCATTTCAGTTGTTTCAAAAAATGTTGCCATTAATTTGATTGTAAATTATGTTACAAATGTTAAGCGCATTTCAAATACTCTAAAATGACAATTCAATATTTTCAAAAAATTTAGACCAGATTTCAAGAAGTTTAAATAGTACTACTTTGAGTCTCCATCACTAGATGGCGAGTACCTTTATTCGTGAAAATCTGCTAGTGGTAAAGTAAAAATAATTTTATAAGTTAAAGCACAGTCTGATCTTATGTCATCTTTAATGTTGGTATAATTTAATGGGCCTTTTATGTTTGAGAAACTTTTTCATTGGCCAAAAACTAATCATAAAATGATGAGACTGTCTACTAGGAATTATATAATTTCATTCAAGCACGTAGTTCTGAAATCATGTAATATATTCGAGTGATTCGTCAAGTAAGAAAAAATATAAGAAACCTTACCCTTTGTATGATGTTCCGTTGAAACATCATTTTCGGACTCCATGTGTCTTTTCAATTTTTTAAGACTTGGAGTCATAATTAGTACATCACTACATGCTACGTAAACCATAAGAATTATAAACCCCTGAAAAAAGACTCAAATGTACATTTATACACGAAGTTATTACGTCGAAATTTTTTGTACACCGATTGAGTGAATAATTTTCTAATTCTCAAAATAAATTCATTTGCATTTAGAGTCACTACAAAAAGTATGAACCAACATTATAAAGAAACGAATAATATCATTTAGTTGTTTAATTAAGATATTAATTTCAAATAATATTATAAAATGTAAACATTGTCGAGTGACTTTTCAGAAAATAATCAGTGATCAAATATACTCTATACATGAAAATACGTTAAAACTGTAGCTTTTGTCTTGATTTACTTACCAAGAGAGCTGAATGAAATGCAAAAATATAGTGGTAAATGATGGATGATGAGTTGATGTACACGATAGAAGATATTTCCATTGTTACGATGCCAAAAATAACCAATGCTGAGCAATGTAACATTTTTATCCTGTAAAAAAATTGACGTTACATGTTTCAAGCTTGTACTATCGTGATATTTGTTATTCTTAAAATACTTGTATGAATTTTACGTACCTTAATTTAAATACATCTTTTTTCGAAAAATTTTTCAACAAATTTTTGGTTTTTTGAATGATAGCAATGTACAGTAACAAAAACGTGAGTAACAAAGCTATTGAACACATGACAAAGATGTTATATGCTCCTGTTCCAAAAATTATCCACCATGATTCATGTTTCCATCCAATAGTTTTACGCGTTAATTCGGTACTTAATATCGCTAAAATTGGAACTCCTGTAGAAAAAAATACAAATTCATGTAGGCAGGGATGAAAATAAGAAAAAATCACAGCTCATTCTGCAAATAATCTGAATTTCTCACCAGTAATGACTGCAATCACCATTGGCTGAAGCTGTTGACTTGGATGAAAATTGGAAATTTCAGCATAAATTATCAATGCTTGAGAAATGGGTGATGATATACTCATTAGTAAAAAAGTCTCCAAAGACATCGCAACAATGGACAAATTATCCTATAATCCAAAAAAAGCTTTTAAACAACTTACTTACTTTTGGAAATTAATAGATTTGAAAAAAGTCAAATTTGACGATAATATTTTTCCTACTGCAGTCAGTAAATTATATTTTTAAATTCTCAATACGATAAATAGCAGTAAAGCTGTGTTTCTATGAAAGATTGAAAAATGATTGATAGTGCCGAAGGGATACTCACCTTAGGAACATCCGAATGTAAAGCATAGATAAAAGTAGCCATAGCCGCTACAATCGCAACGCAGCACTGAATCTTAAGAAAGTTCAACCAAGTTCTATTATGCCACCAAAAAGCCATGATGACCACCAGGGAAATGGTGCATTGAAGTAGACAGCTGCCACAACCCACGATCACGATGAAATTTCGACTGGCGTTTTGCGTCGAAACCACCTGTGCAGCGAAATTCAAACGTTTCGTTTATTCATTAACGTCAAACGTTGCCGGCAAGTCCTTTCGCAATTTTTTTTTCATTTTTTTGTCTACTGCCGCTTTTGTACGGGCGTAAGCCGCTTCCTATTTTTCGCAATGTCAGGCTCACGCATATAAATAGCCGGAGGATTTTTTAATTTCGATCTCGTCACCTCAAATGCCCAATCGCTGCTGCAGGTATTTACATATTAAACTACGGAAATTTTTTTTTTCATTTCCCGTGACCGTGATTTGATTCAACAAAATTTATTTTAATTTGATTTTAAGTAAAAATAAAGTAAGATTGTATTCGATTAAATTAATTGTTTAAAAAAGCGAAACGAGAACAGTTATATGTTTTAATGTGATTTTCAAATGCACTTATAAAAAAACTATCATAAAAAAGCGTCTGTAAATTATTAATCGTATAAATAAGGCAATGCTCGTTTAAATGTTGATCTTTAAAAATATCAAAAATTATCAAAATTACCTTATCGGATCTCATGGTGACGAATGTTGCAAAAGTGCCAGGACTGAAACAAATACATCTGCAGCATCCAGAATTTTCAAAGGAATCCGTGACAAGCTTGCACGCGTCAAGATTCCAATCACCTCCTGGACCTAGAGCGGCACAGCTCATATTCCAGAATTGTGCATCACTAACATTATGGCGAATTTCTCCAAACTCGAGATCGATTTCGAAGCGATCTTTCCGAGACAAATTTCGATGCGATATTGATACACTGACAACCCGAGAGCTTAACCTGTATTCAAGATCTGTGCCATCCCTAGAGAAATTTAATGCTATTAGTCAATTTTCCGAGCAATGAAAACTAATTTCTTTTAAATTTTAAAGCGATTTTCACTTACTTAAGTTCTGTAACATATGTACTAGGAAAAAATTGTATCAAATTACGATATACTGCCACCATTCCGGCAACAGTATTGTTGCTAATTTTCTGATTATTGTGGTATAAACGAATCGTCACTCGGTCGTTGTTCCAAGTGTGATATCTCCTTCATTAAGAAAAAAATAACACGATTTAGAAATAAAACATTTTAAATTGAAACATATTTAAGGAGAAAAAAATTTACTCTTGCTCATTTCGAGGAATTTTCATACTGTACATAATGACTGAATTTGTGTATACTTTCATGGGTAAAACTTGAACGAACAGCTCACCAAGTGACAAATATTGCCCACTTTCTCTGATATTTTCACTCCAATATTCCAACGTATGAAAAACTATCTGATTCAACATTACTAATTTCTACAAAAAAAATGTATAGATTGTATTTACATAAAAAAAATGGTTCATTAATCGATATAAATCGATTGTGTGTAATTTTATAGGAATATCATACCTGCTTACTAACGATGGAGTATGCGTTATTCAAAATTTTATCGAGAATCCTTAAAGTAGCCTCGGCTGAATTTTTAAGATCAGACAGCTCGTCGATGTTGTACTGATAGTGTTCGACTTCTTGAAGTAAACTGATTATTCGATCACCTTCGCCGGGATAGAGAGGTGAACGACGATATTGAAGCACGTCCCAAATAGCCTGTATCGTCGACGATCCATTTGTACTCTCGTATCCGAGCGTCAAGCTACGAAACTGAATACGAAATTTTATTCGCGAAGCCGAAATTGAATTTGCTAATCCGGTTGGCAGTGTATGTCTATACGTATTTTTTTTTTTCACCGATAGTTTTTATTTTTATTTTCACATAACTCGATTGTGTATTCGAAGCTTGCTCGAATAACAGACAAGTGAAATCTCGCGCGAAATAATTTGTACGTATATAAGAGTGAAAAAAAAAAGATAACGTCTCACTTGATTGTAGGGCTGGACGAGGGGCTCGTAGAAGCAGGCCTCGAAGTTGGGCACGTCCCACTCGGACAGATTGGAGCTGCGCATGGAGCAGAGCCGCGTGGCGTGTCGACCCACGAAGCCAAGGGGACAGGAGAGTATGGCCTTGGAGCCGGGGGCGGCCGAGGGCCAATCCCGATTCCAGAGCCGCTCGGCCGGGCAAAGGGGCACGAGGCTGCTGTTGACCGCGTCGACGCGTACCGAGGCGGAACGGTGCGCCACGTTGCACGAGTAAACGGCCGTGTGTCGGGCGTTACTCAGTGTCAGCAAACTGCCCGCCGGGTAAAGGTCCTCCCAGACTTCCTGACCTGGCTCGAGGCGCAGCAGCGCCCGGTTCTTCGACCAGCCGAATCCTATACCGACGTTCTGCATATTCGGCGTCATGCACATCAATCGGATCGTGCTGCCCTGCATTTTCATAGAAAAAAATTCAACTTTTCTCCGCCAAACTCATGAATAATACATTATTATCTTTTTTTTCGTGCGTTTAAAAATAATTCGATTCAGGAAAAATTGATTTTAAAAAAATACATTTTAAAAGTTTAACGCAAGAAAACTAGGGTGCTTGTATTATGAGTTAAAAAGGAAAGTTTGCGAGGCCATTCTTTTCTTGAATATAAATGAATCGAGTACGGAAACGGGTATTACCTTTTCAATGGTGCTGCTCATCGGTAGGACCTTGACATTCGGTTCGTCCTTAATATCTATGTGAATACTTTTGCATTGTTGGACAGTGCGATCGATGACCTGGCACGTATAAAGGCCTTTGTCAAGTAGTACAGCTTTATTCACCGTGAGAATGGATGTGTGGTAGTCTGAACCGTCATTAGGCAGATGTCGGTACCAGATTTCCCTAGGTAGACATAATTTTCACAGCCAGGTCAGTTACTTATTAAAGCTCTAATAAATGCTACATAATATAACATTTAAGCTCCATGTATGTATAAATTTAGAAGCCCGTTCGCTCGTCACCATGATCTCATTTCGACTATGGAGAGCTTGTGATGCCTTACTATTGTATTAGATAAAAAAGAGGAATTGACAAACAAATTGCAGACCGAAAATTATTAATTGAAACATTAATAATGAAACAGAAGTATTGGACTAAAGAAATTTTTATGATTTATCAGTCGTTTATTTAATGTAAAATGTTAACAAATTTGTAAATGAAGCAATGAAGGAAGTACAAAGTAAATAGGTGAAGAATTAATCGCAAAATAAATATCCGTCGAAATTGAGTTCAATATTACAAATCTATCCGTTTTATTGATTTTATCAACGTTTGTTTTACTTAACTTGGAACTGTAATTGAAGAAAAAAAAATTAATTGATTACTCCTTTACTTTTATGCTGTTGGGGAAAGATCGTATTATGCAAAGGTAGTTTTAATTACGGAGTAAAAAAGTGTAAAATATACAATGGGTAATAAAAGGTTGCAAAGAAATTAATTAAATTATAAAATGAAGCTTGCAGTTTAATATAAAAAAAAGTCATGTTACTTGGATAAAGAAATGAATATTCAAAAACAGAAAAAAATTATGGAAAGAGAAAAAAAGGGAGAGCATGGTGTGGCAATCAAAGGGTTAAATAATCTGATTTTCATTTTCTTTTATTTAACGCTCAAAGTGTAATTTCATACCCTGTGCATTTTAGCTGTTGCCAGAGCGAGTACATGTACCCTTTCGTCTGCGTAACGTTTAAACCTCTAGATCTTATCTCGTATATATACTTTTTCTCGCTCCGCTTTTTTGCCTCATCCCCCGACACCCCCTTTTTCTTGTGCTTAATATTTTTCTTATTTGCGCACTACTACTACTGGTGCAGTAGTTTTTTTTTGTCAGAGTTCGATCTTTTTTTTTTTAAGTTCGATTCGGTACGCGCTCGTATTGCGATTTCTTTCAACTATACTTTCTCACGTTCGAAGCAAGAATATATCCTAATCCTTGCTGCTATCTCTTTCCTCTTTGCTACACTCATACGCTTACATATCCGACCTCGAGCGAGATCGCGTTCTACTTGACTGTACGTACTTCCTTGTCTCGTTCCAGACTGTTATTATTCTTATTCTTGTTTTTCAATTTATTTTATTTTTTTCCTCTTTTTTATCTATGTTTATGCACCATTTGATCTATTTTCTATTCTTTACAAAACATTGTGGTTTGGAAAATCATTTTTTTCCTTGTGTAAGATATCATTATTGCTTGTGAAATTTTTTTAGATTCATTCTCAGAACATAAATCCAAAAATTAGATAAAAGCAATTGATTTAAAAAGTGCATATAAGAAACTTTTTGCTTTTATCTAGAAGGGAAATCGTAACAGCGGAGAATGAAACGGAGTGTTTTTACATTGAATTGAATTTGATTGGATTTATTTGTAGAAAAAAGTATATCGACTCACCGAGTTGCCTTACTCATATTTATCAGCATGTCATCTTTGTACCAAAAGAATTTCAAATCTGAACTACCTACGGCTACGCACGATAAACTAAATTGATCCCCAAGTTGCACTTGTCTCTCATTGACTTGATTGATCCTCAGGCTCTGCAAAGTAAAGAAAAAATGGTCGGGTCAAAGTCACATTGAAATGGCCATAAGCTAGTGGTCGCGCAGGAAAGCTCAAGGGTTGCTTATCGACGGGCAGATAGTTTTAGCGGGCGCAAGTTGAGAGTTACGTCGGAGGCATCTGGGAAAAAAGTCGCGGCGAAACTCGAGCAGTACAAGATGGACCGGGGGTAGCTCTCCTTGGCGAGCAGATAATCGAGTTTCGCGTGGGAGCACACGTACGCGTCGCATATTACGGCCAGGCCAGAGCCTCGACCCAAAGTTTCTCCGAGCGGATTTCGTATGGCGGCGGCGGCTTCGGCTCCATTTGCCCCGTAATCTGGCCAAGTCTGTGACTTGTGATCGGCACGTGCCACTCGCGGCAGGGGCCATAATGCACACCTCAGCCTATCCACCCTCTTGCCCCATACCCACCTGCAGTCTGAGGGCCGACTTTTGCTGCAAGGCCAAGTGCGTTGGCTCCAGAAATAAGCTGCCGAGTCGACGTCGCTGAACCAGCTGCTTTAGCGCTCCTTGTATCTTCTCTTCGTCTCGAAGCTCTCCCGTTAAATAGAAATTTACTTCCAAGTCGGCTCTGCACAGACAAAAACATGACAATCAGCCTAAAATTAAATTCAACGATCGCGTTTATACGATTATATACAGCGCTAAAAAATATATTCCTCGAGCAGCTTTGTGTTCTTTACGACATAATAAGAAAATCTTGGCAAGCGAAAAATAACCAGTAAAAGTCCTGCGGATCTTGTGCGCCAGTAAATGGCTAATAGTTAAATGCAACTTTTTCTCATCAGGAATGTATAGTGCGTGTTATTTAATTAAATACTCGCGTGTGTGAGCGCACATATACGTGCGCGAGCGTGGGTACGTGTATTGGTGCGCAAAAAGAACGCGGCGGAGTCGGATGAAGTGTAGCTCTCGCAAAACCCAGACTGCAGCTGCTTTTTATTCTCTTGTTTTAGCTCTCGCGGGAGCTTTGCTCTTTGTCGAAGCCGGGGCTGCTGCCTCTGCTACGGCCACTGCCGAGCTCGCTGCTGCTGCCGCCGCTGCTCAGATTTGCTTTGCGCATGAGTTTCAGCTGATTGAAACTACGGCTACGCGCACGTTCGGTCTCTCCACTGCCCATTTGCCTGTTTCTTTTTTTTCCCTTTTTTTTTTTAGCTACCGGCTAAATCGGACGAGTAAGACTTTTTTACGAGCTCTCCGCGCGCGGCGTCTCGTGCGAGTAGCTCATGTTGTATTTATACGGCAATTGTCATCGTCAATAATCACGCAGGCAACGTCTCATGGTGAAATTCTCTTTATCGCGCGAGATGTTGTTTTCGAGGACACTGAATTTTTCAAACTTCGCTCAAATATTTATCGGAGAATGCGAAAAATTTGTAAATATGTACATGAAAAATTGACAGTCTTACGTGATACTGGAAATTTGCAGGTCTCTCAAAGTCGCTATGTCAAATTCCTCCAGGTACTTGCTCAACTGCAACAAAAGCAATTTTTGCAAATAAATTATCGATTCACTTTGTTCATGCAAATAAGAAAGAATACACGTTGTAAAATTTGAATATTATCCAAACATCTCTGGAGCATATGCTATAGTATTATACATGTGATATTTTACGTGGATATAACAAGTATACACGCAGTTGCTTTCCTTGAAATTTACGGCATGCGGCTATATATTTGTACCCTTACTTTGCATTTTGAACTTTTCCTTGGGGATTTATATCTCGCGCGATACTTGCTCCGCACGCTGAGCATGTTGTGTAATATACTTGCTGGATAAAACTTAACTTATGAACATCTTAAACGATTTTTGAAACCACAAACTTTGATTTTCTTATTTAGATTATCAAATCAAATATTCCATAATATTTAATATGCTTTGGATTAGAACGTAATAGTTAAACTTGTATGTATCGTGCAACTTGTTAAATATTACTTGACTTACATAATGTGATTTATAACTTCATCAAATCCCACTACAATTTTATAAACTATTTACTTTAATGTTAACGAATGGGTTTGATTGTTCTGGGGAAAATTCGTACACGACATTTTTCATACTACCCCTTTTTTCAACCCTTGGGTTGAATGAAAGTAATTACAATTTTTGTTTGTGCTTGTAGCTGATTGGATGATAAAGAAATCTCTTGTGGGCAAAAACTGATGAAAAAATTCAACGATTGTAATAGGCTAAGAAAAGAGCAGGATTATCTTGAAAAATGATATTGAATAAGGAAAAACTACAAGTGATACGAGTCAAAGATACAGACGCTCTCTTTATCATCAATACTTCCATGATTTTCGACGTAAAGGGCAATTGTAGTGCTATCTACATAAACAACTGATTGGCCTTTTACACAAATTTTGATTAGCTTTATGTCATCTACGGATATTTTCAACGTTAAAGAACTTGATTTTTTATGAATTATCAGGTACAGATGATTCATATGAAATAAAATAGATTGCGACCTCGGTCTGCTATTCAATCATAAAATTTATTTTGAAATGTTTAATACTCCCGCAAATAAAAATGTATTTGAGATCGTCATTTTTGAAATATAACTGGTAAGTTGATTGTATTGACATTTTTTAGTAATGTACTATGAAAAAATGAAATAAATCCCACGACTTTGGTAGCGATTGAAGTTTAATTGAAATACATAAAGTACACTTTTTGGTTTCAGAGTATTAATTCGCGAGTTGAATTGATTGTATCGCGAGGGTCGAGTTTCCAATCATGGAATTTAACTGTCATTTGGTTTATCACTTTTATTATATACGTTAGCTGAAATATCAACTAAGGTTTTAATGAAAGCATATTAACGCAATTATGGTTTGACAATTTCATTAAATTTCTCTGTGTACGATCGAGTATTTCGGCGGTTAAATGGATAATGGAAAAGCGATTTGCCTTCTGCAAAGTGATGAATTATAATCATGACACCATCAATAAAAGCCAACGCGAAACGATTTCGGGCAACAATGTGGAAATTCGTTGAAGGATTGGCGCCGCGCGTCGATGTTTTTCGGGAGTAGCCCCCAAGTCAACGTTCAAGACACGTTCTCTTACGACAGACAATGCAGCGTCATCATCTGCTTTATGGCCCACGATACCTATCCCTTAAGCTGAGACAGCAGTTTGATGCTACGGTTGCTTACAAGAGACAGGTATACCGTGTCAGTTTCTGCGATTACACCGCAATTTCCACATATTTTCACGAACAAAATTCAAAATCTAAAAGCAATGATAAGGATTAAAGTTTAATGGCTAGATACCAAACGTTTATTGAGGGTTTAGTATACTTTTTATTGTTTTGCAAGAAGTATTAGTAACTGAAATTTATAACAATCCTCTCTTAAAATAATGATGACCCTAAAAGTGAAGCCAATCTATTCGGCCTCTGATTGGTCGACTGACTTTTGACTCGAGTCGAAACATAATAAAGTGACATCTACGGTCAAAATAGCAACTTTTTCGAAACTGACTGAAAAATGTACGCGCGCGAAGCGCACCTGAAAGTTACTAGTATCTTATAAGTAAATTGAAATTTTTTACAAGATAATAAAATATTTGAAGTTCTTTTTGTATTAGTATCAAGAAAATTTTTCGGTTAACGCAATTGTTCTAGATACATAAACGTTATATTTTTTATTGAATTAATATTTATGATCTCTCGATACTTTTTTGAACGTTCAATTCAGATATGGAAAATATTATTTTCTCCAAACCTCATGCAAAGAGATTTGCATAATTGCACACAGGTATATTAAAATATTCTACCCGAATAAACTTTTATCTTAAAATGTGGATAAATTAAATCTAATTCAGCGATATTGAATTTCAGACTGGCAGCGTGGTTTTTTAATGGCGAACTTTCGACATTTTCTATTATTCAACTGTGTAAATTAATTATCTTATTCCGAGTTGAATAATCTAAACTGCCAAGACCATAGCCAATTGAAAAGTCATAAAGCTTTTCTACTTTAAAATAAGTTTGTTCCTAGTCAACTGTAAGCACGCCCGCTGCTTAATCCGTCTACTTTGTCTTTGTAGTCGAGGCAGTGCTTTTTCCCCTCGCTTTCTCACTTATATATACGCAACTTTTATGAGAAGATTTTCACGGACTCCTTTCAGCTGGAGCTTTTTTCGCGTCTATGCCAACCTCATTTTCGCCGCCGGTATTGCTTTTTTACTATACACTCATTCTCAAACAAGACGAGTCAAAAGTGCGCAGATATCTCTCGTAACACTATTTTACTATACTCAAGTGGTTATACAGCGGCTGGCATAGAAAGTTGGCTAACTTTGACAATAGACCATAATGTGAATGCAAAAGTGTGAGGGTGTGCGCGTGTGTGTATGTGTGTGTTTTCGCGCGCATGCCAGGGACTTTTGACATTATGCAATTTATGGCCGGTGGCGAGTGGCTGCAGATGCAATATTTTTTAGCTTCTTGTTTTACGTCGTTGATTCAGCTCTGATAAATGGAGATTTATATCATCTCTTGTAGAATCTTTTGTAACCTTCAATGAGTTCTGAGTGCGGTGAAATGCTGAAAACCGGTCTTATCGATTGGGAATTTTTCAAGATTTTTTCTTTTTGAGCCGTGCCGATGATTTGAAAAAAAAAATATCAAGAGGCAAAGATTATCGATGGAAGATATTGCATTTTTCAGTCGAGTGGCTCGTTACGCTAAAGTTTTTTGATATTACCAAACTTGAGTCTTTCAACGCATCAAAATAAAGGTTCTATTATTATGCAGTACGCCACTGTTATCGTAAAGTGGAAAGTAGTTTGCAACGCACATGTTACAGAGCAAGCTCAAGCATCATGTGTTACCTACGTTACCTAAAGAACTTCAATTAAGTTTCAATTGAAACAAGCATCAGCCTTATCGTTAATAGTAAAATTACATTTTCACATGACCTTCCGTCTTGAGCACTCACGACGCGGGGCTTCAAAGTTTTAAAAGTTGTGATAAGCGACAGCCATAAGTCAAATTAATTACATTCAATTCGCCTTTTTCTCTTCTCGAATTTTCCATCGACAGGAAATCTTTTTAAAAATCGAACAAGTTACCTGTGAGTCTGAATAAGGTGCAATGCGCTGAAAAAGAAAAGCTGATCCCATTTTATTCGCTCGTGTCGATAAATCGTAACCATCAATAAGGGGCTTGAAAAATGTCCTCGCACAGGAGCGCTCGCGCGCGCCCATAGATGATTTGCATGAGAGACATTTTTTTCTCCAAATATTTTCAAAAGTGCTTCACGTTAGACATTCTACAACTATTTTTTTTTTCGAGAGTTATAGTGCAGATTTGACGTCTGCTTGCACGCCTGCTGCAGAGAAGAAAAGATTATTGGATAATGTCTCGCTACTTGTAGCAGTGCTGCCGCTGCCGTTTCCTTTTATGGTTTACAGGCACTGCCGTTCGCGTATAAAGTATAACGTGTACATTTGTGCAACTGCGAGGCTGCGTGTGTATAATATGAGAAAAGAGCGTCTGTACGTGTGTGTGTGTGTATGTGTGGATGTGTCGACGCCAGAGAGAGTCCTTACACGAAATATTTCGGAGGGTTTTACTTTACTTTTTCCCGCTGATATGTCACCGAAAGGAGGCGAGAGACGAATTGTTTTTTCAAAATCACAAATTTTCTTTTTGACATGCCGACTTTTTATTCACCTGAATATAATATTTTTTTATTCTGTGCGATTCACCACATCGTTTCTTTATTGTTATTCAAAAAAGCTGTCGACATGTTCGCATTGCTGGTGATGATATTATGTCTTTTTCTTTGCAGTCTTCATTGTTTAGCACGATCCTTTTGTGAGCTAAGGTCAGTAGTCTTTTTTTAAGAAATTATTAAGTTATTTCAAAACTTGATTCATTTAAAAAATTCAAATAATCGTCAAACATTCAGCCTTATAGATAATTGTCGAAAGCTTTGAGAAAACACACATCAGACCACTTAATGATCAGCTCGCAGAAACCACGTTTGACTTATGTACGATTATTTTTATTTCACTACTTGTAGATTAGTAAATAAAGGTACTCGCCATCTAGTGGTAGATGTTTAAAGTAGGATCATTGTATTTTACACAATCATAAAAGCTAATGTAAATGTATTTTAAAACATTTCAGATAATTTTTTTTATCATTAGGCCATTAATGGTGTTTAGCCATTACAAATTTTTGAGAAATTCATTTTCATCATAACCGAAGTAGATGCAGTTTGTTTTGATTCGATTCGATGTCTCTCATTTTCGAACTTACGACAGTGATAACTCGTACAGATGGCAAAATACGTTTTCATTGGTGAGATAAAAATGTCAAGTAATCATTGAACCCGAACAATATAATTATTTTACCGGTATTACAGATGTCACCAGGTGTAAGTTACGCGTCATTGTAAAATTGTTACTTCACAAAGTACTCTAACGGATAATTTTATCTTTCTATCCTGTCTGAAGGG